GCTTGCAGAATGCTTTCACCTCTTTCAGTTTAGTCATCATTAGCCCCAGATCACTAGTCCTGGCATACTCATGTAGTAAAGCCAGCGAGAGTGTAAGTAGTGCTTTAGATGTAGTGTTAAAACAATAAAGACAAAAACAACACAGAAAAACTAACTCACTTTAAAAAAGTGTTACTCTGGAATTTTAAAAATATTGTGTGTATGTGTGCGTGTGTGTGTGTGTGTGTGTGTGTATGTAGGCTTGTGCATGCTATGGTGCATGATTGGGGGTTAAAGGGCAACTTGCAGGCATCAGTTTTCTCTTTCCACCATGTTGGTTCTGGGGATTGAACTCAGGTTGCCAGGCTTGGTGGCAAGAGCCTTTACTTTCTAAGCTGTCTTGCTGGCCCCCAGCTCACCTTTTATCAGCATACTTTTCTGTTAATATGTCTGTGATTTCTTAATAATAAAAAAGCTCTTGGATTAGAATATCCTTCTATAAGTTCAGAAAAACATAGCAGTATAATAAATAGTGAAATATTTACTATTTTAGTTACCTTCAAGTGAACCAGAATTTTGTGATATTTTCCATTTGAAATAGTAACTTCTACCACAAGCTTGTGAATTTTTTTTGTGTGTGTGAATATAAAGCTTATAATTAATTTCAGTGTATGGCAAAAGCCAGGGACTTCTACATAACCAGAAATAGTTTGACTTGCTTTTACTTTCATAAGATTGAAATTAATACTTATAGAAATGCTTGTTTTATAGTAATAATAACTTGGGAAAATTATATTTATTTTCAATAACTATTGAAAAGAATATATATGTGTTATTTCCATTTAATTTCCAAAACATACATGATAATACACTCTATTATGTATGAGTGCCAGTTAAGAAAAAAAAAAATCAGTAGACTATTTTTACAGTAGTTTTAGGTTTACAGAAAATTGAACAGATATTTCTTTCATTAAAACCTTGTATTAGTGTAGTATATTTGCTATAATTATTGAACCAATACTGATACATTATTTCATTCTTTGCATTGTATAGGTCTATGGGTTTTGCCACATGTGTCATATATTCACGATTACAGTATCATACAAACTGGTTTTCTACCCCTCCCCACAATTTATTGTGTTCCACATATTTATTCCTCCTGGCCTTGTCCCAGGCTCCTGGCAACCACTGGTCTTTTTACTATTTCCATAGTTTTTTCTTCTGTAGAATTTCATATAATTGGAAATATGGTCTGTAGTCTTTCTAGAGGCTTCTTTTATTAATCAGTATCCATCTAAAGTTTCTCGATATCTGTGACTTCAAGGTACGTTCTGAGTAATAGTCCATTGTATGGCTATACCACAGTTTATTATTATTATTATAGAATATTTTATTATTTTTATTTTATGTGTATGAGTGTATTGCCTGCATGTATATAAGTACACTTGTGTTGTGCAATGCCCTTGGAGGTCAGAAGAGGGTGTTAGGTTCCCTGGAACTGGAGTTATGGATGCTTGTTAGCTGCCATGTGGGTTCTGGGAATTGAACCCATGTCCTCTGCAAGAGCAGCCAGAGCTCTTAAGTGCTGAGCCATCTCTCCAGTCCCTGTTTATTATTTTTGAAGGACATCTTGGTTGTTTCCAATTTGGACCAATTATGAATAAAATTGCTATAAATACTTGTATGCAGGCTTTTGGGTAAATAACTGGAGTAGATTGCAAGATCAGATGGTAAACTTCTTACAGAGTTTACCTTTGTAAGGAACTGCCAAACTATTTTCCTTTTTTTTTTTTTCCTCTCTTTTTTCTTTTTCTTCCCCCTCCCCAAACTGTTTTCTAACTGTGGGTCCAGACCCCCACATGGGATCACATAACTGAATGGAGAGGGGTCTTGAAAAATTTGGCAACAGTAAGAAGTTTCTGAACCAAAAATAATCTGAAGATCAAATGTGCACCGTATGTGAAGTGTTTCTGGCAGTGCTTGCCTGTGCTGGGGAACAAGACTTCACTGCAGCCCTGTTGAAAACGTGCAACATGCTCACTCTGCACTGCATATGAGCCCATGTAACACCAGGGAGTACTGCTTCAAACACCTTGGCCTCAAGTGGAGACTACTGAATGTTAGGAATTGCAGTATTTTTACTGTTCATACAATCTTCCTGCTCTTATAGAAACATAATAGTTTAATGATAGAAAACAAAGACAGCATTTTCCTATTGTCATTTCTCAGCATGTATATAAATTAGTCTATCTTTGGTTTTGAGGTAAGGTCTTCCTGTAGCCCAGCTGGCCTGGAACTCCCTAGACCAGGCTAGCCTCAATGTCACAGAGATCTGCCCTCAGAGTGCTGGAATTAAAGGTGTGTGCAACTACACCCAGCTCAAATTAGTGTATGTTTGGATTGTATTGTGTTAGAATATTTGATTTTAAAAATTGCTGTCAGAGTTGCTGACTTCTATTTCATAAAAAATTTGTTCAATGAATTTTGGGTTGGTATTAAGACAGAATTTCTAATTTCTGAAATGACCCTAAAAATACTGCTTCCATTTTATACTGCATATTTATGTGAAGTGGCATTCTCAGCATTAATGATTATTATTTTTTATTTTATTTTATTTTTTAATTTTAATTTTTTTATGTGTATGAGTATATTGCCTGCACGCACGTAAGTGCACCTGTGCATTGTTCATGGAGATCAGAAGGCATCGAATCTCTTGGAACTGGAGTTACAGATGATGGTTAGCCACCATGTGGGTGCTGGGAATCAAACCTGGGTCTTCTGCAAGAGCCATGTCTCCAGCCCCCCAGCATTGATGATTATAAAACCAAAATATTGATCACTTCTGACAAATGTTGAAGATATGTATGTCCTGCAGTATCAGATATTCAGCAAAGATTTGTTTCTTTATGTAAAAATAAGCATATCCATCTCATTAGTATGCAAACTTGCTCTTATATTTAAATATGTATATCAAATAAATTTTGGAGCTAGGGACTCATGTGTCTCCGGGCTAGCCTAGAATTCGCTGTGTAGCTGAGCATGACCTTGAACTTCTGATCTCCGTGCCTCCATCTCCTGAGTGCTAAGGTTACAGGCCTGTACCACCACACTTGGTTTTATGTGGTTCTGGAGATCAGACCCACAGCTTTGTACATACCATTTAAGCATTCTACCAGCTGAGCTGTATTTTTAGCCCAAGAATTGTTTTAAAGTAATTTTTTTAATGACTTATTAGCACCAAATGTTTGATTTTTGTCTACTTATTTTGAATATCTGTATACCATGAAAATTTCTTAGTCAAAAAGGTGTTGCAAGTGGAAAATGTATGAAAGTCCTGATCCAGATCTTGTTTTTGGATTTCTTTCTACTTCCCTTTTGTAGTGCTAGTGCAAATGTTTTTAATTTCAAATTCTGATTGTTCATTGGAAAGCAGTTAACTGTTTTTCTTGTATATTTTACAGTCATGTCATCTGTGAACAAAAACAGTTTTATTTCTTCCTTTCCAATTGGTAAAATTAAAAAAAAAAAAGCTTGTCTTATTACGTTAACTAAGACCTGCTTATGGTGTTGAGTGGGAGTTGTGAGAGGGGACATCCTTGAGTTATTTCTGATATTAGTGGGGAAGCATATAGTTTCCTAAATATGATGTTACCTGTAGGTTTTTATTTATCTTATTTTTGTTTCCTTGAGACAGGGCCTGAAGTAGCCCAGGCTAGCCTCAAACTCACTATGTAGCAGGCTGGCCTTGAACTCCTGATCTTCCTGTGTCTGCCTCTCAAGTGCTGGGATTTCAGGCGTGTCCCACCACACCTTGTTTAGCTGTAGGTTTTTAAATAGATGTTTTTGGGGCTGGAGACATGGCTCTGTTCTTGCAGAGGACCCAGGTTCAATTCCCTGCACCCATATCAGGTGGCTCACAGCTGCCTGTAACTCTAGTTCCAGGGTATCCAGTGCTGTCTTCTAGCCTCTGCAGCTTCCTAGTGCATGTAAACTCATGCAGCCATGCATGTATATACTACACAAGTTTAAAAAAAAATCTTGAAAATAGATGTTCTTTACAAGGGTGAGAAAATTCCTCTCTTCCCTTTTGTTGAGGTTTTGGTTTTCTTAGTTTTTGTTTTAAAAAATATTTTTAATTGAATTTTTGTGCATTTCCCCTATCTGTACTCCCCATAGCCCCCGCCCTCCGAATTTGGTGCATTCTGTCATGTATGTTAAGGCCTATTGAGGCAAGTTTGTGTCCCCAGATGTTCTTCAGTGTAAGTTCAGCCACTAGAGCCTGGTCAGCCTGTCTAGCCTCAGTCCCTTAAAGAATACCAACTCTCCCTCACCCAGCATTGATCAGCTGCCAATAGTTCTTTAGGTAAGGTTGGGGTTTCTTACCCATTTTCTTATTTCTGTGCTGGATTTTTGTCTGGTTTGAGTTTGCATAGGTCTTGTGCATGCTGTCACCATTGCTGTAAGTTCATAGCAGCAAGTTCCCAGCCAGCTGGAAAACTGTTTCCTTGTGATCATCCGCTGTCCCTGGCTACAGTCTTTCCACCCCTCCTTCTGCAATGGTTTCTGAGCCCTGGGTGGCAGAGGTTTAATGTAGGAGTATTTTTGTTTTTTGTTTTTAAAAGCATGCATTGGTGTTAAATAAAAGCTCTTTTCTGTATTTATTGATAGGATCATATGATACCCTCTAAATGTTGAACCTGCCTTGCACACCTGGAATAAATTCAGAACTCCATCGAAAGACTTAAAATTTTAGCAGGGCATCACACTTCTGCAATCCCAGCACTTGGGAAGCAAAGACAAGAGAATTAATGTGTTTAAGGCTGGCCTGGGCTGAATAGTGAGACCCTGTCTCAAAACAAAAATTATTTTTTAAATTGTCCATTTGAATCATCTCACCATAATGATGATGTGGCATCCATGAGTTAATGTGCTTCCCCCCGCCCCCAGTGGAAATCATTTGCATGTGAAGCAAATAGTTTCAACACTTGAATCTTCATTTAACCCCAGACTTCTTTCCACAGGCCATTTTGCAGCCCGTGTTGGCAGCAGAAGATTTTACTCTCTTTAAATCAATGATGGTCCAGAAAAACATTGAAATGCAGCTTCAAGCCATTCGAATAATTCAAGAGAGAAATGGTAAAATGTTCTAGTAGAAATATAAGCACTAAGTGCATTTTTTGGATGTTTGAATTTTCTGATTCTAATATGATCTTAAATGTAGCTACCTTTTATGCATTTATTTCAAGTGTGAATGTAAAAGATTTAAGGATGTAAATTTTCTAATCAGTGTATTTGACATCTCAAAGCAGACAAGAATGTGATGTAATGATCTTTTAGATTTCCTAGAGCCTTGATGTCTCCTTCCCTCCCTCCCTCCCTCCCTCCCTCCCATTATGTTAATGGAATTCAGTGTTTCTGAGTGGCTGTGGTCACTGCTGAGAAGGGGGAAAGGCCCTTCTGCTTCCTGCTTGTCATTGTTAGACCTCAGGAAGAGGCAGTGGTTCTCAGACTTTAACAAGCACTGGATCTATTAGAAGGCATGTTGGAACATATGGAAGACTCCAATTTGTGATTTCATAGGTCTGGGATGGGACCTGATAATTTGCATCTTTTAAAAAAAATTGTTATTTTTATTTTATGTGTATGGTGTATTGCCTGCGTGTGTGTAAGGACACCCATGTCGTGCAGTGCCTTTGAAAGTCAGAGGAGGGCTTTGGATCCCCTGGAACTGGAGATACGGATGGTTGTTGGCTGCCATGTGGGTGCTGAGAATTGAATCTGGGTCCTCTCCAAGAGCAGCCAGTGCTTTTAACAGCTGAGCCATCTCTCCAGCCCGATAATTTGCATTTTTAACACATTCCCAGGTACTGCCAGAGTTGCTGGTCCTGGGACCACACTGATGTTCAATACCTTTTCCCTAGTTTGGCAGAAAGACTTTTCCTTTGTTAAAGATGTGAAAGTTGTATTTAATTATAGTGTTTGCTCTTGCGGGTGTGGAGCATGGAACAAATAGAGCTTTTTTTTGCTTTCAACAATTTATTTTGTATATGCATTCACACAGGCATGTACATGTGTGGGTGTATGTGCTATGATGCACATGTGGAGATCAGAGGACAATTTTCAGAAGTCAGTTCTCTCCTGCCATGTTAGTTCCAGGGATTGAACTAAGGTTGTCACACTTGGTAACAAGCACCTTTACCTGCTAAGCCGTCTTGCTGGCCCCCCAAATAGAGCTTCTGTTGTTACAAGACAAATATCAGAATGTTGTAGAACTTTTGTTGGAGTGTTCTTTCTTTTGACTATGTGAATAGAGACCTATCCCTTAGAGCCAGCCACCACCTTAGCGCATGCTTTGAAGTACCATGTTTTTTACAGCAGGTAATAGAGTTGCCAGTGGGTAGGAGAGAATACCACACTAACCCTGAAGGCTCCATAATGCAGTGGAATTATTTGATGTAAATGAATTTGGAAGAGTTCCATTTTTGTCTTTGCACCATGCCTTGTTCTCTAAAGGTCTTTCCTCTTGCAGTGGTTAGTTTTTGTCAGCTTGACACAAACTAGAGACACCTGGGAAGAGGGACCCTTAACTGAGGACTGGATTGTCTATGGGGCATTTTCTTGATTGCTAATTGATGTAGGAGGGCCCAGCCCACTGTGGGTGGTGCCATCCTGAGCAGGTGGGCCTGGGCTGTATGAGAAAAGGAGCTGAACAAGCCAGGGGGAAGGGTGAATCAAGCCAGTAAGTTGTGTTTCTCTGTGGTTTTTGCTTCAGTTCCTGCCTTGCATTCTTGCCCTGACTTCCCTTATTAATGAATAAGGGTTTTATCACAGCAAAAGAAAGTGAATTAGAATACTTCTCAATATTCTTGAAATTATGCTTTATTTTGATTTGGGGGATAATTATTTTATAGTACAAAACATGTTTTAGGAGGTATAAGTTTGATAAAAGAAATAATGAATTTGTTCAGTGGACTCTAGTTTTTCAGTTTGACATTAACAAAACTAGATTTTGATAAAAAGACAATAAATAACTGTGGCTTGTATTAGCTACATGCCTCAGATTGCCAGTAAAAGAGCATCCCAGTGAAAATGACCCTAAGCAGTTAGACAGAATTGACGTACAGACAAAGAAGTACAGAGAAAAGGAGGGAGGGAAGACAGGTCCAGATTTGGTTACTTTAGTGACTCTGATGTATTCAAGGTGTCTGACAGGCTTCCTTTTTAAACTCTGCCATCCCAAGCATCTTTTCTTCTGATTGACGTAGGCTGTGTCCAGTGCAGGCTCAATGGTTTCATGAAGAAAAGGAATATTTCTCTTGTGTAATGCTTTTTGTTAGCAAGGTAAACGTTTTCAAGGAAGCCCTCTAAGAGACTTCCCCGAGGCCCTCTTGATCAGGATGGGGTCACTTGTCTTTCTTAAACTATCTGGTGGGGCATGAGTCCATTATGATTGGCTTGAGCCAATCAACTGTCCTGGGATGAGGGCAGGCCTGACCTTTAGTGACTGGCTGCCTGATGACTGCACAAAACCTAGTTTATATTTGGGAGGGGAGGAAGGCAGGGATGATGTGGAACAGTGACTGCTGTCAACTCACACTGTGGGATAGTTTGCCCTACATTTCAATGTAAACTAATCGTTCCTGCAATAGAACTTTTAATACTTGTATTTTAAGAATGTTGCTTAGCTTACATTCAAGGTAAGTTTACCTTAGATTAGTGTCAGTTCTACTCAAAACAAGCTTTTTGGAAATTGTATTTCTAGTAAGAAAAATGTGAAGATTCTCTTGTTTGTATTTTATCAAAGTATTTGGAGAAAATGCAAGTCAGAGCTTGATTTTGATGGTTTTGAAGTATTTCCTCCCTCACTGCTTTCAATTTTCCTTAGAAAGATTGTCAGGGGAATAATAATTTTATATCTTTTGATTGAGCAAAATTCCACTCGAGAGTGATGAGTTATATGGATGTAATTTCCTGACTGTTAGATTGCACTAGTTTTCCAAGGTGTTATCACTGGGGAAAACAGGTAAAGCGTACGTGGCATCTTTCTGCATGTGACTGTGAAATTACCTCAGAACAAAATGTTGAATTAAAAAAAAATGCATGTGAGCATCAAGGGGATTAGATAATCAAAGTACTTAGAGCAGGTCCAAAATCCCATGGTCAGTTTTGTATAAAGAAATGGAAGGCAAAACCGAAGATACATTCTGCTAATGTTGTAGAGTATAATTATTATGGAGACGAACAGAACACCCATGACCAGCCTGCCTACTTATCAGGAAGGTAAGAGGTAAATTAAACCATCCTTGAAAACTACTTCTTATGGATTTTTATTTGCTTTGGGCCAAGATTGGCACTATTGTGACTTAAGTAATAAGCCAGTCCCTGAACAGATGCAGAACAGATGTTTCAGGGACAAAGATTTTATTACTGATCTTTACATCCCCAAAGTATTTAGCACCATGCTATTGCTAAACATAGGAAGGAGGGCCCTTTCCAGTAACATTGGTTGTAGTTTAAATGGAGAACATCAGATGCTGTTTTAATTTAACAAAACACTATTTTGTCTTATTAACTTCCCAATTAAGGTTTACCATTGAGAACATTTATTAACCCTAGCTAAATGATTATCCTCAGATGTAAGACAGTAACTTGTATTAATAATTTTTATTACCATACAGTTTTTAAAATTTCTATTATTATTATTTTTTTTTAATCTTGATCCAGGATCTTTTTGTGTAGCCCTGGCTGACCTGGAACTTGGTATATAGACCCAGCTGGCCTGGATCTTACAGAGATCCACCTATCTTTGCCTCCTAAGTGCTTTGATTGGAGGCCTACTTCTGCCTCCCAAGTGCTGGGATTAAAGGTGTACACCATCACACCTGGCCTAAAAATTATATTTTAAAATTTGCCTCTAAAAATACTTTGTGTATGTGTGCATGCACACGCAAGAGAGAGGGAGGGAGGGCCAGAAAGGGTCAGAGAGGGACAGGGACGGGGACGGGGTGGGGGAGAACACACCACAGTGTGCATGTGAAGGTCAAAGGACAATTTGTGGGAGTTGGTTCTCTCCTTCCATCAAGTGGGGCTCAGGGATCAAACTCAGGTTTTTTTTTTTTTTTCGGTGCTGGGCATTGAGGCCAGGGCTTATGCAAAGGCTCTACCACTGAGTTAGGTATCAGCATCAATCATTGTTATTTTAAATAGCCAACACAGGTAATTACAGAGAGGTATTTCTAGATAAAGTTGAGGGTAGTTTTTGTGGTCTTTATTCTCTAAGATGTGAGAAAGCTATAAAATTGGTAATTTATAGCCGTGTGTAGTGGCACACACCTGTAATTCCACCTCTTGGGAGGCAGAGGCAGGTGGATCTCTAGGAGTACAAGGCCAGTCTAGTCTACATAGTAAGTTCTAGGCCAGCTGGGGCTACAGGAAGACCTTGTTTCAAAAAGACCAAAAAAAAAAAAAAGTGATAATTTAAATTTATTTAAATTTATTTTTATTTTTTATGTGTATGAGTGTTTTGCCTGCATGTATGTAAGTGCACTCATATCAAGCAAAGCCTGGAGAGGCCAGAAGAGGGTGTCGGATCCCTGGAACTGGAGTTATGGATGGTTGTTAGCTGCCATGTAGGTACTGGGAATCAGACCTAGATCCTCTGGAGGAGCAGCAAGTGTTCTTAACCGCTGAGCAATCTTCCCAGCTCCTAAAGCTGATAATTTAAAGGATAAGTGCTTTGAATTTTTTTTTAAGTATCAAATTGTAAACTAATTTTTACTTGATGAACTAGAGCCTTGAGAAGTGTTTTCAGTTGAGTTGATAGTCTTCCATGTGGTGTTTGGTTTTAAACAGGTGTATTACCTGACTGTTTAACTGATGGTGCTGATGTGGTGAGTGACCTTGAACAGGAAGAGATGAAAATCTTACGGGAAGTTCTTAGGTATGCTTCTTCACCTATTTTTGAATGAGTCATTAGTAATATTATATAATTTGCATGTATATAAGCTTTTACCTAGAAAGTATTAACTAGTAAAATATCTTTAAGTTTTTTATACTGAAGACCATCAAAAAGAGCTGTCATTTTTAAAGCTATATATACACAGGTTGAGTGTCTCTTATCCAAATGCTTAGGATCTGAATGTTTCAGATTTCAGATTTTGGAATATTTGCATAAACCTTGCTGGTTGAGCATCCCTAATCAGAAAATCCAAAATCTAAACTTTCCAGAATTTGAAACTTTTTGAACAATGTGTTGGTGTGCCAAAATTTTTTATTTTAGAGTATTTTGGATTTTCAGATTAGAGGTGTCCAACTTACATATTTAAATTTTTTTTATTTGATGTGTGAATCTTTTGCCTGTGTGTAAATGTACCTGTGTGTGCAATGCCAGCAGAGGACAGAAGAGAGTATCAGATCCCCTACAACTGGAGTTACAGGTGGTTGTTAGCCACCATGTGGTACTGGGACCTGAACCTGGGTCCTCTGCAAGAATAGCCATTGTTCTTAACTGCTGAGCCGTATCTCCAGCCTCATATGTATATATATATTTCTTAATGTACAAAAAAACTTTTTTCATATGACTTGTGCTGCTGGATCAGCCCAAGTGAGAGGCTCTCCCCCAACTCCCACATGTCCTTTATCATAGGGCTTAGGGACACCAATGGAGATGTTACAGTGGACTCCACCTGATTGCTGGAGAAGGGTAGAGTGAACTGTGTAGGATTTTCTCTGGCTTCTAGATCTCTGTATTGGAGGTGGCTCATTTTGGGTCTTGCAGAGAGGCTGGGCATCCATACTCCACCAGCTGCATAGCAACAGGTAGCCTACAAGGGAGGGAGGACAGTTGGAGATGTTTATCCCAGATAACATCTTCTGCCCAGTTGTATGAGTCTCAGCCAGATCCCTGGTGTACAGGTAGCAGCATTTTAACCAGGAAAGGTTAGTGGGCATTTCTTTTTCCCTTGAAGCCATTGCCTCTTGTCATTGTGGGAGTTTGAAAGGGAAGGGGAATAGGACACCCAATACTATTATTAATTAATTAATTAATTAATTAATTAATTTTTCTGAGACAGGGTCTCCCTGTGGCCCCACGTAGCCCGGAACTTACTACGTAGACCAGCCTCTATCTTACAGAGATCTGCCTATCGCTGCATCTGGAGTGCTGGCTTTAAAGGCATGTGCCACCCTGCTCAACAATACCCATTTGTAAAATCTCCTTTTAGAATGTATTTGATTTAGGGGAAAGGATACCTGTAGTCACTGTGTCATCTGTAGATTAGGGCCCTGGATAGTGGTTAGAAGGATGGACCTAGTGGGAAACACTGGTGTGAGTTCTAGGACTTAGGACTTAATTTCATGGACTTTAAGTGGTTGTGGGGAGGGAAGCAGATATGTGGGTGACAAACATGCTCTTTCCTAACAGTGCATTGTTTAGTTTACAGGTTTAAGAGGGATGGGGATTTGTATCAAAGGACTGGTAAAGTTTGACTTGCAGTGGTTGCATCGACAGATTGGTGTGCTAGAAACTGATTGGTACCCCTCTCCAGCAATCAAGTAGAGTTTACTACACCCGATCCCTCCAATTGTGGCTAGTTCCTTAATCTTATAAGGATGGTGGGGGACCCTCTTACTTGGACTGACCTATCATGAATCAGATTGATTGGCATAGTACTTTTAGATTTTATTTTCTAAAAGCTTTTGATAACTCTGTAAGTATTAGAACTTAGATATGAACATGTCAGATAGTTGACCTCAACTCTTTTCCCAAATTAAAGGGCCCCATGAACTGCTTACAGAAACTGATAGATTTTGGGACACAGGCTTCAAGACTGCTTTGTGAATGCTCAGATGCCACCAGACAAACTAGAATGAGAAACAACAGCTCCTGTCAAGAAGAAGGAATTTTTTTTTTTTTTTGGACAGGGTCTCCTATAGCCCAGACTAGTCTTGAACTCACTATATAGTTGAGAATGACCTTGAATTCCTGATCCTTTTGCCTCTGCCTCTCAAACGATAGGATTGTGCCCACTACTCCTGGTCAGAATGTGTCTTTACTAGTGGGATTTGCCATTAAAACTTGGGTGTAGCCCATCAGTTTGTATGCTAGCCGAAAAGAAGGGGTGGGGCCTTAAGATTTCAAACCTGTTGGTCTTTGTTCAGCTAGGGTTTATTGGGTAAGTAATATTTTATATTACTATTTATAATTTGCTGTACTTTAGAGCAAGGCCTGTTTTTTTTCCATCTTTGTGTGTAAAATGCCCTGCCCATATGTAATCTCAGGTTTACATGTTGCATGTTTGTTTTTGATAAGAAAATTTACTTATCTATCTTATTTTTGTGTATTTTAGAAAATCAAAAGAGGAATATGACCAGGAAGAAGAAAGGAAGCGACAAAAGCAGGTGCTTACAGAACATAGCCACAGCAGATGTGTATTTTATTGGTATTGTCTTTTGCTGAGTTTACACCTGTTTTTTACAGTTAACATTTAAGGTTCTATAGAACTACGTACATCTTAAGGAACAAGTGATTATACTACCTTTGCACGGTCAGGATGCTGTGGCCGTTTAACGTGTGTCTTCAGAGTAGTCTTATTTTCTCGAATTTATATTTAAATTTGTCTTTAAAATATTTTACTTTTTAAAATTTTATTTTTTGTGTATGAGTTTATTGCATGTGTGCATGTAAGTGTACCTGTGTTGTGCAATGCCTGCGGAGGTCCGAAGAGGGCATTGAATCCTCTGGAACTGGACTTATGAATGGTTGGTAGCCGCCGTGTGGGTGCTAGGAATCAACCCCAGGTCCTCTGCAAGAACATCCAGTGCTCTTAACCATTGGGCCATCTTTCCAGCCCCCTTTTCATGTCTTTGTAAAATGACCTACTGAGTTTCGTTAGGGTTGCTTGCTCGAGCATGGCTGTGGACTTACTTCCTGAAGCATGCTTCTTGCCACTGGCTGCACCCCTGAAGAAAATTGCTCCAAGTGGTCATTGCCGTTAAATGCCAGTGGCTCCTAGCTGGAGGTAGGGCCTCATGAGCCCCTCCCCATCTGTGCTGGAACGTGGATGGACTCTGTCTTGTGCAGATAGCCACAGCTGCTGAGAGTTCTTGAGTGCAGCAGTGAAGTCATTTATCTTGGAAAGAATAATGTCATGTCCAGAGGTCAGTGTTTCCAAGTCCTCCTCTGCATCCTCTAGTTCTTACATTCTTCCCACCTCCTCTTCCATGATGTTCCTAAGCCTTGGGGTGGGTTTGGGAATATGCTATAGATGTCCTGGTTTTAGGCTGAACACTCAGCATTCATTTCATCTCAGCACTTTGTCCACTTATAAGCCTCTTCATTAACCACTGCCCACTGCAAAAAAAGTTTCACTGACCAAGGTTGAGTGCAGTACTAATCTATGGTTATAAAGATAAATTTAGGGACTGGAGAGGTGACTGAACAGTTAAGAACACTGGCTGCTCTTAAAAAGGACACAGGTTCGATTTCCAGCACCTACATGGCAGCTAAAAACTGTCCATAACTCCAGTTCCAGGGGATCCAACACCCTCTTCTGACCTCCACAGGCATTGCACTACACAGGTACACTTACATATATGGAGGCAATATACTCATACACATAAAATAAAAATAATAAATAAAATACTTAAAAAATAAATACAGAAGTGTAGAACAGAAACTAGTGCAAACTTATGAGAGGATATTATTTATTTATTTATTTATTTATTTATTTTTTGTCTTTTTGAGACAGGGTCTTTCTGTAGTCCCAGCTTTCTTGGTGTTCCAGGGGATCCAACACCCTCTTCTGACCTCCACAGGCATTGCACTACACAGGTACACTTACATATATGGACGCCTGCCTCTGCCTCCTGAGTGCTGGGATTAAAGTTGTGCACCACCACGCCTGGCAAGAGGATATTATTTTTAACTTTCTTTTTTAAATTTTATTTTATTTTCTGTGTATGAATGTATTGCCTACATGTATGTAAGTGCACCCATATCATGCAGTGCCCACAAAGGTCAGAAGAGGGTGATAGATTCCCTGGAAGTGGAGTTACAGATGGTTGTTAGCTGCCATGTGGGTGCTGGGAATAGAACCTGGGTCTGCTGCAAGAGCAGCTAATGCTCTTAACTGCTGAGCCATTTCTCTAGCCCCTGACTTTCCTTTTTATATGCAAACCATATTAGTTTTCTTGGCTACTATGTTTTAGGATATATGATTGGATTTTTTTCTTTTGAGACTTTATTATGGAAATTTAAAACAGGAAAGTAGAGATGCTGAGAATAATGAGCCTCATCTTTTTCATCACTCGGTGCTCAGGGGAGTTTGACTTCGAAATCTGTGAGTTGCCTGATAAGCTACATGTAATCTAATTTTCTTCTATTTTTAAGGAAAATGAATTATCATTAGTTTACTTTCTTTCCAAGATAAATGATTTCACTAGTTTTAAGTATGCTCTTCCATTTTTAGTAATGAAAATAAATGAATTTATGGCTTCTTCAGGCATTTCAAAGAAATGGTGTATTTCAAGTGGAAAAAAAAAACCCAATGGTTTTATTTCTTCTAGTATGTGTCTTGGTGTCTTGCTTCAGGTCACATAAATAGTGAAGGTAAAGCCTGGTTTTGGACTTTGTTCTTTCTAAATCCCAAATCCTGATCATACTGGCTATCATTATCACTGCATGATTTGAAATAGAATATTTCCCCGACTCAGAAAATAGGAGCTGCAAACTGCTAGTAGCTTTTTAAAACTCTGAGAAAATAGAATCTCCTAGTCATTATCTAGTCAGTGGATAGACATTTTAAAAAACATCTTTGGATCCCCATAACTGGTGAATTGATCAGAATGAATCTAAACTGTTTTTATCTTTTTCAATTGTGTTATGAATCCTGAAGACATCTGAGGCTAAAATGGAAGACGTGCCAGTGTGCAGCAGTGAAGCTGCGAAGATGAGTAATTCCCAAGGGGATGGTGAACCTTTTGTCCAGCCGCCTACAGGTGAGCTTGAACTGTGCTGCACCTTTGTGAGTACAGAAATACTGTAGAATATGTTATACTCTGGTATACGTTTAATCTTCAGAAACCATGGGAGTCTTGAGTGGCTTTGGTATTTAAGATTCTTTGTGCGGCTCATTTAAGTTTGCAAGTAGGAAAAAACCCAGCTGGAAGTGAATATACTTCCCATATTTCTAAGTGAAGCCTGGAATACAAAGAGTAATGAATTCTTTGAGGGAGCTACTGACTTTTGTGCCGTATCTGTATCATGCAAGATGATAAAACATTTGGTGTTCATGAGCAGCAAGCTGAACTTGGAAAGGTAATACTAAATTAAAAAAAAAATTATGTGTATGAGTGTTTTCCTGCATGTATGCAAGTGTACCTCTGTTGGGCAATGCCCGCAGAGGTCAGAAGACGGCATTGGATCCCCTGGAACTGGAGTTATGGACGGATGTTAGTTATGTGGGTGCTGGGAACTGAACCCAGATCCTTTGCAAGAGCAGCCAATGCTCTTAACCACTGAGCTCTCTCTCAGCCGCTATTTTGATTTCTTATTCTGTAGAAGAGAACAACAATTCTGCAATAGAAATTGAATCATGATCCTGAGTTAATTTTTATTTCATCATGGATTTCTATTTTTTTTAAATATTTAAAAAAATTTATTATTTTTATTTTATGTGTATGCATGTATTGCCTGTGTGTAGGTAAGTGCACCCATGTCATGCAGTGCCTGTGGAGGACAGAAGAGACTGTCAGATCCCCTGGAACTGGAGTTACTGGAGTTGTTAGCTGTCATGTGGGTGCTGGGATTCGAACTCAGGTCTTCTGCAAGAACAACCAGTGTTCTTTAACTGCTGAGGCATCTCTCCAGCCCCCAGATTCCTGTTTTTAAGTCATTGTCCCCTTCTCATTTGAAAAAAAAGGAGTGTGAGGCAAATATGCTCCTTTTTTTTTCTTTTTCCTTTTAAATCTTTTAAACCAAGTAATTCAAGGAAGTGACTTGTCCAAGATTACTGAGCTCTTAAGTGCTGAGATTGTGACTTACCTTAGCCTTCTGACCCTAAATCCTATGTTCTTCTATATTTTAGAAGATGCTCTTGTCAGGTGTGATAGTCTGCACCTGTAACCTTGCATCCAGAAGGCTGTGGAGGGTGGAGTGGCTACAAACCAAACCCTGTAACAGAGCCTTTTCAGAGAGAGAGAGAGAGAGAGAGAGAGAGAGAGAGAGAGAGAGAGATATCTTATGTTTAACCATTGTTTTTTTTTTTTGTTTTTTTTTAGTCAGAGAACAACTTTAATTTTTTAAAATGCGTTTTAGACAATTTGGGTTCACAGGAAATTGAGCAGAGGATATAGAGATTTTTGCATATTGCCCCTATCCCTACATATGTATAATCTCCACTCTCAGCATTCCCCACTGGATTGTAGTTCCTCTTGGTAAAACATTGACATGTCATTGTCCCCCCAATCCATCATTTACATTGAGCTTTACTCTTGTACAGATGTGTAATGACATCTCTACCGTTATAGTGTACAGAGTAGCTTCATTGTTCCCTAAATCCTCTGTGCTCTGCCTGTTTATCTCTCTCTCCCCTAGCAGTCCCTGGAAACTACTACTATTACCGTTTCTGTAGTTTTCCCTTCTCTAGAATGTGTCCTATAGTTAGAAATATGCTATGCAATTTTCAGAATCACTTCCTTCTTAAAAATTAAACAGTAGGCATTTAAGGTTTCTCTCTATCTTGTCATGGCTTGATGGTTCATTTTTCTTAGCATTTAGTGATATTCCATTGTCTGGCTGTGCCATGGTTTATTCATTTACCTGCTGGAGAACATCTTGCTTACTTCCAAGTTTTGGCAATTGTAAATAACATTGCTGGGGCTGGAGAGATGGCTCAGCGGTTAAGAGCATTTACTGCTCTTGCAGAGGACCTGGGAATTGAACCAGGTGGCTACAAACCATCCTTAACTCCAGTTCCAGGGGAAATTGAAGCCCTCTTCTGATCTCCGCAGCATTGCATGACATGGATACACTCACATACATGCAGGCAATACACTCATATACATAAAATAATAAAAATAATAAATAAAATATTAAAAAAATAACATTGCTATAAACACCTTCAAAGATGTGTGTGTACAAGAAGTTTTTACTGCCCCTAGGTAAATATCAGGGGCATTTGCTGGATTGTATGGTAAGTGCATGAAGAGTATATTTCATTTTGTAACTACCAAAGTGTCTTTTCCGTTTTGCGTTCTTTTTTAAAAATTTGTTTTTATTAAATTTTATTGTATTTCATACAGAATATCACAAACAATCTGAGTCATCTTTATAGTCCTGTCCCCACCAGCACCCTCCCATAACCCCCCCACTGGAACCCTGTCTTGGGTAAGGCCCTCTGTGGCAAGTCAGTGTCCCCAGACATTCCCCAGTGCAAGTCCATCCATTTGCAGTTTAGTCAGATCCCTCTCATCTATCTATCCAAACACCTATCATTTTCTTTTCTTTTCTTTTTTAAGCAGAGCGTAGTGTGGGGATTTATTTACAGAGGAGTGGGAGCCCCCATTTATGACTACACTGGAAAGTCCACACTCAAATATAGATGCTGTGACTATCCGATAGCTGCAGAAAATGGTTAGAGAGGTGCCTCCTGGCACTCTCGGCTTATATATCCTTATCCCCCTCCCCCACATGCAGCTAAGGTTGACTGATTGGGTGGAAGGGGTAACTGACACCCCCCTTGACTCCTTGATGAGCATGGGAAGGAGGTGTGACTTATGCTTGTAGGAAGAGTGGTCAGAGGACACTTCCACTTAACACTCTATCCCTTCCTCCGGTTCTTATATTCTTTCCACCAACCTCTTCCGCAAAAGTTCCTGAGCCTTGGAGGATGTGGTAGGTGTGGGATGATCTTCCTCCCATTGTGGTAAGACACTGAGCTTTCGGGTCTCTGTGTTGTCAGTTCTCCATGGGTTGTTGGTTCATTTCAGGAGAATTCTATCTACTATAAAAACACAAACAGCAAGAAGCAAGAACATCTAAACAGTGGCTGCTATAATAACTTAACCTATGGGTGTAAACACCAGTGCTTGGATGATACTTTAGCAGGTGCATCACATCCATCTAACAAAACAGTTGCAGTGGCTTCCCATTGGGGCTTATAGTCTCCCGTGCCACAGGGGTTGGTCTGGTCTACAGTAGCAGATGTGTGTTCCACCCCTAGAAGCAGACATTTTATCCAATTGAAAATTTGCCAGCTGTGTGTACACTAGATGCTCCACCCATTTTGCATTCTTAGCAGCAAAAAGTGTTCCTGTTGCTCCACATCCTCACCAGCATTTGATGATGTCACTGTTACAGATTTGTGCCATTCAGATAGGTGCACAATAGTATCTTATTGTTTTGCTCATATTGTTTACCACTGTATATTTGGTTATGTATCTCTTAAAGTCTTTGGTTTATTATTTTACTTGTGGATTTTGTTGTTGTTATTTGTTTTTTTTTGAGACAGGGTCTCCCTGTATCCTCAGCTGGCCTGGAATTTGCTATATGGACTAGGATAGCCTTGATCTCATAGAAATTCACCTGCTTTCGCCTCTTGAGTGTTGGGATTAAAGATATGCACTACCACACCCAAACTTTGATTTTTTTTTTTTTTAATAGAGCCTCATGTATCCCAGACAGTCTTTGAACTCTCTGTAGCAAAGGATGACCCTGAGCACCTGCTCTTCATGCCTGTACCTCCTAAGTGCTGGGATCACAGGCATTTGTCCCCCTGTCTGTTGTGCAGTACTGAGGATTGAACCCAGGGCTTTGTGCATGATATCATGTACTCTGCCAACCCCAGAAGTTTTAAGTTTTGATGAATTCCCGCAAATCAATGGTTTCTTTCATGATATGTGTGACTCTGAAATTCTAACTGAAGGTCATCACCATACCACTTGGGCATTTGGACATGCTCATGTTGTCATCTAGGAGTTATCACCGTGAAGTTTTGCATTTTACACTTAAGCCTATGATTCATTTTGAGTTATTTTTTGTGAAAGGTGTAAGGTGTGTGTTTTAAATTGATTTTTTCTTACATGTAGATGCCTAGTTATTCCAGCACCACTTGTTGAAAGCTACCTTATTTATGTAGGTGTGTTTGTAGACTTTCTATTATACTCCTTTGACCTTTTTTCCCATGCCACCTTTATTGTGGCTTTTTAGTGAGACCCAGAGTTGTGCAGCTCAGTCCCCTATTTTCCTCTTCAGCACAGGTTTGGTTGGTCTTCTCTTACTTCTCAGACTCCAGAGTCAGGTTATCAGTGCTTACAAAAACAGCCTGCTGGGATTTTGATTGGAATTGCTTTGTATCCTAGACCACTGTCATCTTGACATTATTGAATCTTTCTGTCCATGAACATGGAGTATATCCGTTTATTTAGTTCTTTGATTTCTTTCATTAAAATGTTTTGTTCATATATATTTTGTTAAATTTTATACCTATTTCACTTTTGGGGTACTAATGTAGATGGTATTGTGCTTTTAATTTCAAGTTTCACTTGTTCATTACTGGTGAAAAAGTGACAGGCTTTTGTGTCTTGTATTCTATAACTTTGCTATAATGAGTTACTCCATTTTTTTTTGTCAATTTTTAAGATTTTCTATATAGATGATCATGTAATCTATAAAGAAGCTTTATTTCTTCCTTCCTAGTCAGTGGCCTTTGATTCCTGTTTCTGTCTTAGTGGACGTTGAACTGGAGTGGTTGGGATGGTAAGAGAAGGCACGTTCCAGCTTTGCTCTTGTTCTTAGTGAGAAATCTTCTAGTTCTATACCATTAAGTATGGGATGTAGCCCAGGCTGGCCTCGAACCACTTGCCTCCGACTCCCCAGTGCTGGGATTAAAGACTTTTGCCTTGTTTGTTTTTAAATGTTTCATTTATTTTTCTTTTATGTGAATGAGTGTTTTGCCTGTGTACATGAAAGTGCACCATGTGCATGTAATGCCTACAGAGGCCACATGAGGGTTTCAGAGCCCCTGGAACTGATGTTAGGGATAGTTGTTAAGTGGGTGCTAGGAACTGAACCATGGTTCTTTGGAAGAGCAGGAAATTCTCTTAACCACTGAGCCATCTCTTCAGCTACTGTTTATTTTAAAGATTTATTTTAATTGTATATGTATATGTGCATGTGGGTGCGTGCATGTGCGTACATGAGTACTGGAGCCCACAGAGGTCAGAGGCATCAGATCACCTAGTGCTGGAATTACAGGTGGTTGTTTGCTACCTGGTGTGGTGCTGAGACTTGAACTCAAGTCCTCTGGAAGAGCAATACATGTTCTTAACTGCTAAGCCATCCCTTCAGCCCATTTGTTTTTTAAATTGTAGATATTTATCAAATCGAGAAAGTTCCTTTCTATTTCTAGTTTCCTTATATTACCCGCTGACTTTGAAGGAATTCGAATCTTAGTTAAAACAGTCACAGAAACAGATTTATAAAGTTCCCTTACTTCTTTACTCTTAGTGTTTTTCCCCCTCACATTCTAGCTTGTAAGGAGAAATGACTTCATTTCAATTATATCTGATACTTCTTGCTTTAGATAATTTTCTGTGCTTTATTTTAATGTGCTCTATAGTTCCTGATTTGACTAGGGGGTAAAGCTAGAGAAAAGCTCATGAGGACATGATAGCACATACCTGCAATCCCAGCACTTGGTAGGTGGAGGCAAGCTATGTGGAGAGTTCATGGCCAGTCTGGGTTACATGAGAAAATAAACAACAACAACAAAAGCAAACAACAGTAACCCACAACAAAGACAAAATTTCATCACAAACCACATATAATTAATTTCAAAAGTAATATTTTAAATTCTCAGAACTTCAAAAATGTATTGGGAATCACTTCATGCAAAGTAATGGAACTCTATTAAGATCTAGTTTTAGAAGAATCAAGGTTTTTGACCTTTTTTTGTGCCTTTGCTCATGTTCCTGCTGAAATTAACAGCATCTGTTTCTTGATGGAGTTGCTAGATAGGGGTTGATAATTCTTTAGGCTTTCTGATCCTTCTTAAAAATGAGAAAAGCTGCCATGTGGGTCCGTAACTCCAGTTCCAGGGGATCCGACAGCCTCTTCTGTCCTCAGCAGGCATTGCATGACATGGGTATACTTACCTACATGTAGGCATACACATAAAAATAGTAAAGTATTTTTTTTTTTTAATGGGAAAAGCTAAAGGTGTTTTGGTTTCAAGTGCTTCTTCTAGACTTGAGAGAATATATGCTCATACCTAACCAACTCAAGGCCTGAAGTGTTCTGAGTGATTGTGTGCACTGGAAAGAAGTGCTTCCCAGTGTGGGCTCCGCCAGTCTGTGGTTCTGTGTTTGGGGACAAGCCTACTTCTGCTAAAGTAATCAACAAAGATGACTGTTCTAACTTTACGCCTCAGCAACAGCTTGTTTAAACTCATTAGGTTCTGTGGCCCTCTGTCTAGTTTGTTTGAAAGTACTAGGTCTAACTCATCTCCTCCACGGACACTTCCTTTATTCTCCAAGGGCCAGCAGAGGTTTTTCTTCTTGTCTCCCTGGCATTGCACTCAGTTGACTCACTCTGTGTTAGAGCTGTGGTCCTTTGTCAAGTTTGTTTGTCCCTTTCCTTTCCTTCCTTTCCTTTCCATCCCTTCCATCCCTTCCCTCCCTCCCTCCCTCCCTCCTCTTTCTTTTTGAGGCAGGGTCTCAGTGTAGCCCCAGCTGGCTTGGAACTTGCCGTATAGACCAGGCTGGCCTTGATCTCATAGATCTTCCTGCCTCTGCCTCCCGAGTGCCAGGTTTAAAGGTATGTACCACCTCGCTTGGCCTTTGTCAAGTTTCCTGCATAGGCAAAGTTTCTTGGCAGTATTATTGATCATTTTGAGACCCATGTACCATGGTTTTCCATTATGCTGCTACTTCTTTGTATAATTTTCATTAAATCTTTGCTTGTCTCGGTGTTCATAGCCCATATACTGACAATGGCAATGTATCTTTAACATCCTATTTTTTTTTTCTTTTTCTTTTTTTTTTGGTCTTATTGAACCAAGGTCTCTCTTGGTGTGGAACTCCCTATGTAGACCAGCCTGGTTTCAAACTCACAGAGATTCGCTTGCCTCTGCCTCCTGAGTTCTGGGACTATACATGCCCGGCTTTTTCACATCTTTTTACATATATTTTTATATTATGTGTGTATATGTGTGGTGTATGTATGTGTGTGAGAACACATCCATATGTGTGTATGTACAGGCTGGAGGTTGACGTGAGCGTTTTCAGCCTCTGATGCTCTCCACCTTATTGTTGGAGATAGGGTCACTCACAGAACCTAGAGCTCACCAGTTGGTGAGGCTGGCTGGCCAGCAAGCTCCTGGGAGCCGTCTGTCTACTGGAGTTAGTCAGGCTCCACCTTGATTGGCTTTTAGAAATGCCAGTGCTAGGGATCCAAACAGGTTCTCATATTTGCCCAGCAAGCACTTTACCACACTGAGCCATCTCTCCAGCCCCATTAAAAAAATAGATTTACTCATTTATTTCTTTGTGACTGTGTATGTGTGGGGTGTTCACATGCTGTGGTTCATGTGTGGCGGTCAGACCACTTGCCGGAGTTGGTTCTCTCCTTCCACCATGTGTGCTCAAGGCTCGAACTCATGTTGTCATGCTTGTCAGCAAGTGCCTTTATTGTCTGAGCCATCTTGTCAACCCCTTTTAAAAATCACCTCATCTTCTAATAGAAAATATCTCACAGAAGCAATTAGAGTATTAATCATACCTTGTCAGTTACCAAGTAGAAAGTATTGAATACTTATGTTCTGTGTGTTTTGAGGTACTGCCTGCTTGGTAGTTTTCTTCAATATGTAATTGCACATGTATCACTGATATTACTGATACCCACTGTTGTTTAAGAAAAAATTGGTTTAAAAATTGTTCTATAAATGTATAGTCACTTAGAGTTTTTACCTGTGAGCAAAAGCTTGGAAACCAAAGACTATTTGTGAGGGACTGGTGTGCTGTGTAGTGTCCTGTATTGTGTAACAGTGTTGTTCTTCATACAAGAATGTCTTTCTGAAGCTATAGTATTACACAAATGTGAGCTTGCTCTTTACTGAAGTGCCATTATTTATAAGATGAAACATATTGTTCAAGTTCCTTAGGGATAGAGACCAACTGTGTTTGCGCACAGTACTGGAACAACACAGGTACTGACATTAGGGCTTGATTAAATATGAGGGAAAATGTGTTCATGTTTATTTTGTGAGTGTGCCACAATATGTAATATGATATCCTAACTGGTCTCACTCCTCACTGCCAGAAGTTAAGGTGCATTTTGCTAATGAGTCAGTACAACTCTTGGCAAGAAAGATGGAACTGTTGCCTGAAACGTCTTCCCTCCCACAAAAAGGTCCGAAGATTCCTGGTTTAGAACACGCAAGCATTGAAGGACCGATAGCGGTAAGTAAAGAACACTTTAAGAACTCTAAGCGAGGCACTGTGAACAATGTGAACAGACATGTATTTGCTTGTCTTACGGTCTTGAACTTAAAAACCAATCAGTAGATGTATTTACGACTTGTTATGTCAACTTGAATTTAGATAACTCCTTCTCTTACTTGAACCAGAATTTGTCAACACTTGGAACAGAAGAGCTACGGCAACGAGAACACTATCTGAAGCAGAAGAGAGACAAATTGATGTCCATGAGAAAGGACCTAAGGGCTAAGCAGATCCCAAATACAGAGCAAAAAGGAAAACCTACCAGGGAGGTGGAGGTACGGCTAGCTTTGGTTAGCAAACTATGCACATCTGGCAGTGAAATTTTCAGTTTAACTATGTCCAAGGAAGCCTCTAATGAATCTTGTTAGTAGATCGCCTGAATTAACATTCTGCCAGTGCATCCACTGCTTCGTCCTCTCTAGGAAGAGAGTTTGGATGGGAGTTGTGAGGTAGAAACAAGTGTCGTTGTGCATTTTATTTCTCAAGCTCCGAGGTCCTAAGGGTCAGTGCTCCATCTTGCCTGAGCCATTCAAAGTGTTTGAAATGTTCTGTCAGAACCCATTCACCCAAGGCTTCTGCAGGAAGAGAGTCAGGAAACTTGGTCTTTGACTTTCAGTTTTAATGAAAATGCCCTTAATCTTTGTTCTGTTAAGGTAGTATAATGGGAATTTTAAGACACACAAACTCATTTTTATGTTGTAGCCAATATTTTCTTTTTTCTTTTTTAAAGGAAATGACAGAAAAAGCAGAAATGACAGCGGAGGAGAAGCAAACATTACTAAAGAGGCGACTGCTTGCAGAGAAACTTAAAGAAGAAGTTATTAATAAGTAACAAAAATTAGCAAAACAGAAGTCTCCATTTTCTTAAAAATAAATTATTCAATCCTTAAACCAAGACTAGTAGTTTCAAGCAAATACTTGCTTTTCTAAATACAAGGTCACTGCTATTATTTTAAACAGGTAAAGGGCAGTAGGGAAGGCAGCTACTTAATCAGTTTAATACAAATTTCTGGATAGAGCCAGGTGTGGTGGTACTTGCCTATAATCCTAACGCTGAGGAGGCTGAAGCAGGATGATCAAGAATTCAGGGTCATTCTCAGCTACATAGCAATTTGACTAGCCTGGACTACATGAGCCCCATTTCAAAAAACCAAAAAAGAAAAAATAAATAAAATTCAAACAAATTTCTGAATATGTTTTCTCTTGAAGAGAGGGCAGAGAAACTAGTTGATAGTGCATTCATTCATTTATTCACATGTGGGTACTGTTTGTGCTGGGCCTTATGATAGACACTAAGGGTATAGCAGTCAAGCAGACTGAGAGGGTTCCTGCTTGCATGGGGCTATTGAAGCAGGAACGGCATTAAGAAGGAAAGGTGCAGTAATGCGTGGCAGTGTGGTTACGCTTCATTGAGCAAGTGGACGGTCAAGCTGATTGGGTGATCACATGGAAAGAGAATTATTCAGGTCCTACCTGGAAATAAAGCTCATGCCGAGGAACTAGGTAGAATGTATGCAGATGAGGTTTGGCACACAAAATGAGATAGTGGGGTACTGATCATGTAGGTCCTTGGAAGGAATGTGAACTTTAAATGTTAAAATATAGGCAGTGTGAAGTTATGTGATCAAAATTTTATGTGTATGAGTGTATTGCCTGCATGTAAGTGCACCCGTGTCATGCAATGCCTGTGGAGGTCAGGTGTCAGATCCCCTGAAACTGGAGTTCTAGATGGTTGTTAGCAGCCATCTGGGTGCTGGGAACTGAATCTGGATCCTCTGCAAGAGCAGTGCTCTCAACCACTGAGCCATCTCTCCAGCCCCTATTTTCATTTTTTAAAGATGTGTAGTTGCCTTAGTGAGAGAAATGGATGGACTAGAGTAGTTGTGGGTTTACCAGGTGTGAAGCACTCCAGAGTAGGTACCAGGCAGTGGTAAGAGATTTAGATTTGAGGCTGGAAAAACAAGACTTGGAAAATAGATATGGAAGATGTTGAAAATAATTACTTTTTCTATAAAAGTTATAGACAAAAGGAACAATGGATGAACTGAACCTGTTGAGGGAAATGGTATTACTGAGTGTTGGTCTTTTGTAAGGTCCTGGAATAGTTTCTAGCCTTTGCTTGATAGAATACAAGAGACCTTTTTTTTTCAAAAACTTAAGTGTTATGACATCCCGTATCATTTTTGTACTTATGTTTTTTACTAACATTTATTTTATGTACATGGGTATACACAGGTCAGGGCATGTATGTGGAGTTCAGAGGACAACCTCCACCATGTGGGCTCTGAGTATCAAGTTCAGGCTTGGCAGCAAGCACCTTTACCCACTGAGCCATAGTGCTGGCCTGCTCCTGAGGTTTTTAAATTTTATCTGATTAACTCTAAAATTGTACTTTTAGAAAGGAGTACCAGAACTAGGTTAACAAAATTTGTTCATTTTAGCGACACAGCTCCAACCTTCAACTTGCAGAAAAACCAGTGATTAAAACACAGGACTCTGTTTCACATAACTTTATTAAAAATAGCTTTTATATTAGATACATGTTTACAGTTTTTTTGTTTGCTTTGAACTAAGGCATACATAGAAAAATGTGTGTTCTGGCTTGAACTAAACAGAGTTAAGGTACAGAAACACCCCAGTCTGCACAAGGATTGTCACTTAGGACAGTAGCCAATGTAGTCTTCCCACTTGTGCCTTCCAAGGATCTTTTTTTCAAAATATTTGCATTTCTGCTATAAGAAAAGGTTCCCATGACTTAAAAGTCTGATTCAACTTCTCAGAAAGGAAAATTAAAGGATGTTGTCATAAGGTACAAAGATGATACTTCCTATTTGAATGTAAAGGTTACATAGTCAAAAAAGAGTTAATAGAAAATAGGAAAAATATTTTAGATCTGGGCTGCTTAGATGCCTAAGAGCTAAGAAAGAAGAGACTTGATAAAATCTGCTTGAAAGAAAGCCTGTCCGTAAAGTAATTCTATTATGTTGATTGAGTATCCTGCTCGGCTTCTGATGAGGTGGAAGGCCAGGGTTGGTATGTGTGCACCTTGTACAGAGGTGAGAAGGCTTCCTGCTGTGATAGCTTGGTGCAGCGATGTTCTCTGCCCAAGGCTTACCTTCTGGAAATGACAGTTAAAGTGCAGTTGATGCTCACATGCAGGACTTTCTCACCTAGTGGTTTACAATAAAGTTTTTATGGATTTTATTGGCTTTAAAAAGATAATGTAAAATGACATATTTCAAAATAGAGTTTACTTATTTACAACAAAACAAACACAAGCATCAGTCATGAACTACAGGGTCACATTTTAATTCCTGAATTTACAGTTCAGCATTAATATCACCACATGTATACAAATGGTGTAAAACAAGTACAGTGGTATTTTTAATACAAAATAAACATCTGTTTTATGGAAAAACTATACTTCATATCTACACAGACAGCCCATCTTTTCCAAACAATAGCCAAAATTAAAATTAACTACAAAATCTCCAAAACAGGAAACTGCTTTTAAGCTATTCCAGGAAAAATGGACCCATAAACACATTACAAAGATGATCTAAAGACTGTAGCTGGAATTACTATTTTTAGAATTTTTTTTCCCAATGCATTAAATTGTAGTTTGGGGACATTTTTTCTTAGCAATGATCTCAGATCATAGATGAGCAAACATTAAAATATTTACAGTCAATTTGCTGTTCTAAAAATAAAAGCTCTTGTTTGCCTCAATTATTTTTAATTCATTTACGTACATGGAATGTGCTTTCTACTCTCAAAAAAGCAGCTTTCATGTTATACCCTTGTTTATGGAAAAACTTCATGTGCTGCATGTGACTCTGACACTTAGATAACCTCTTGGATCAAAATGACTTCTAGATATTAACTGCCACTTAATTCAGCACCATTCTTTATTAGTCTTTAGAAATTACATTTTAAAATTTGCCTGCAGCTATGAAAAGACACAGACATAAGTACTGACAAATCAGAAAGTGATCAAAGACTCTCCCACAAAGATTATACTGGCAGGTGTTGGAATCTTTCTGCTCTAGCTACTCCCAAGATTCCAAAACGGGTCATTTGAATACTACTGGACTGTTTCTTGGCTGCAGTTATCTCCAAAAGTACTGACTTTAAAGTTCAATTAACAAAACTGTCCATTTGGAACCCAGCTTGTTTCTTTACATATTTGAAATTCCTGGTATAGAGAACTCACCATGTGCTGTTACCCAGGGTGTGTACTGTTTCAAACCCTGAAAGGCTGAATTTCTGTGAAATCTTTAAAAAAAATGGCCCCAACAACTTTATTTTTAATAAGAGTTCAATTTTGTTTTCCATACAAATTTCTTTTAAAGAGGCAACTGATTAAATGGCCAGCACCATTATACAAGTAATGTTATTAGACTTGCAACTGAAGTTTTTAAATTTTTTTCTAGATTGGATAACCCCCTGGAGCAACTGTGCATTAATATTTTATCATTTCCCTCCCCAAACTGTCCCAAAACCTGAGAGTTTCCTTGCTATGAAGCTACCACCCAGGTTCCAGCAATTTCTTTTTTGACAGCCGGAAGGGCAAATCCCTTAATTACTAGCAAGCAATCAAGTTCCTAGGAAGCCTGGTTTTTACATAACTAAACTCTCCTAGCTGATAAACTGAGTGTCCTTGCTACTCCTTGTATATTTAAGTTCAAGTGAGAAAGCTTTCTGATTCAGACTTTCAGCTCATTGAACAGCTGCAGCATTTAAGTAAGACCACAAGATGGGGGTTCCCCAGCAATTATTTTATGAGCCAAGGCGAGGTCTTTTCCTGGGGGATGTTTCTTCTTCCTCATCTTCCTCTTCATCATCTGGATAGTCCACTAAGCCAACCAAACTCCCCTGTTGAAGAATTAAAACTGTTTTAACATGTATAGCTTAAAAAAACAAAAACAAAAAACCTTCATTAGCGGGAAAACCAGCTTAGTACAAACACTCAAGGACAGCAGATGTTATTTTTCTAAATTGCTTATCTGAAATGGACACCTCTGAATCTAAGAAAGGAATTGCTTGAATTATGAACATTTAGTAAGTACTAACCTATGACAGTTTCACTAACCCTCAACTTTTCTATTATTTCTTGGACTTTTAATGAAGTGCCAGAATTCAGTTTAACAAAATTTCACTGGGAAAATGACTTTCTTCAAATAGTAGGACTAACAACATTTGGAATGTGAAATGGACCTTGGGAGATGAACTAGTTCATTTCTCCCACCTTATCTAAAAAAAGCCTCTAGTTTTTACATAAATATTTCATCACTAAATATACATTATTTTCTTCGTTCTGCTTTTAAATAATGATTTAAATTGCTGAAGATAATAAAAACAAATGGCTTCTAAAAGGTAGTATTTAAAATAAGGATGAGGTAATGTAGGGTTTGATTTTTTTAAGTAAAGGACCCTTTTGAAATCCTATAATGCTCTTGGCACTCTCCAGGTGTCCACAGGATTGTATTCATTTTGTCCTATTCATTGGACATAATCCTATGATGATTATGTCCTACAGGTTAAGGGGGCTACTGTAAACGTGTTTAGTTCAAACCCTTTGGACCAGGTCCAGAAAGAGGTAACTGAAGTAATTCATCCTTCATACATAAGTAGCTACATATGTAAAGAACCCAAACACGGGGCTGGAGAGATTGCTGCTCTTCTAGAGGGCCTGAGTTCAGTTCCCAGCACCCATGTGGCTCACAACCATCTGTAACTCCAGCTCCTGGGGATCCAACACCGTCTTCTGGCTTCCATGGGTACATATACACAAATACAAATAAATCTGAAAAAAATCCAAACACTTGGCAATGACAATGAAAGAATATAAGCAAAGCACGGTAATATTAATCAAAAAGGATTCTGAACATCTAGAAGCAATTACCAGTCTATGAGCTAAATAAAGCATACACTTGTAAGACTAATTCTCTTTATTGAATTTTTGCAATTTACATACAATAGAATTTGATGTTATTTAGATCCCCTCCCCTATCAACACCTCCACTTATTGCCCCCTGCCCAATTTAATGTCTATTGTGTGTGTGTGTGTATATATA